AATCTTTAGAAGTTGAATAGTCCTCAGGTCTGAACTTTTCCTATTATTCACCTTTGAGCCAGGTGATTTGTGACTTTTTAAAGGTTAAAAGCCTTTGCTTGATCTATAAAACACAAAGGGGAGGGCTAGTTAAGAAGTGGAGTAACGAGTCTGTACAATACAGTGTAATACGCAAGGACAGGACTTGACGTTGCTTTGAAGATAGTTGTGGGGAGGTTAGTGAATAGTAAAATTAATGAGAGGAGCAGTTCTGGTTCAGTTATAGTTCAAGGTAAAAAAGTTGAGAGGTCTATATTTTGTTCCAAAGTACAATGATTTAATTTTGAGGAGGAGCAGCCAGTGATTGGACTCTTTAAAGGAGATGGCCTGGGGCCTGCTTAATCAGGTTGCAGTTTCCATTACATTCAAGAAAATCAGAAAAATAAATACAACTTGTAGAAGAAAAATTTGTTTTCTCCCATTCACTTTTAACCCTTGGTGGGGGAGAGGCGGTTCTCACATTTTTGGAATTGTTTAGAACTGTGGTGTACAACATGGTAGCCACCAGCTATATATGGCTACTGAGCACTTGGAATGTGACTAGTCTGAATTGAGATGTTGTGTAACTGTAAAATACAAACTGAATTTCAAAGAATAAAAAAAATGTAAACTATTTGCTGATTACATGTTGAAATGGCAATATTTTTAAATATATTGGGCTTAATAAAATATATTTGCTAAGATCATTTTACCTGTCTTTTTACATTTTAAAAAAATTAAAGTTATAAAGGGACATAGTATCTTTATTTTGTTTATTTATTTTTAAGTGGTGCTGAGGATCGAACCCAGTGTCTCACATGTGCAAGGTAAGCGCTTTGCCACTGAGCCACAACCCCAGCCCCTCTTTTTACTTTTTTAATGTGGTTACTAGGAAACTTAAAATCACATGTGTGGTTCACATGTTCAACATATCAAAGTCTTACATGAAGCCAGAAAGTTTTCCCCTCTCCCCTTCAGCTGGTACATGACTGGTGGTCTATTAGAATATTTCCATTAATTCAGTACTTTTGAGTACCTAGGTGAATGTCTCTATCTAGATAAAAGCATTTTAAATATTTTTAAGTCCTCCTACCACTAGCACTTTTGCCCAACTGCCAAAGCAATGGCATAACCAATGTGATTATTATTGCATGGAATTAATGAAAACTACCAAAGAAATGGAAATCATGCAGGTTAAAAATGGCATTTATCAGATCTAGGAATTTTAAGGCAAAAGGACCACCGTATTCTAATAAACTATGATCATGCAAAGCTTATACCAAGTGATCACCAGGCCTTGTATTGAACTCATAGATATACAAGGAAATTAGTGTATATGCTCCATACTAATAAAGGTGTATGTTTTTTGTTTGGTTGGTTTTGTTTTGTTCTGATATGGGAGTTGAACCCAGGAGCACTTCATTACTAAGCTGCATCTCCAGTACTTCTGTCTTGCTAAATTGCAAATGGCTTTCCTCAAATTTGTGAGCTTTCTGCCTCAGCCTCCTGGGTTGCTGGGATTGCAGGTGTGCACCACCACACCCAGCTGGATTTTCCTTTTTTAAAATTATGATGGGGGTGTGGGGGTGTAACCAAATGGCACTATGCTTGCCTATTATGCACAAGGCCCTGGGTTCAATCTGTAACACCACACATTATATGAGCCCTAGATAAACACCATTTTTTTTTACTTTCCAAACAAGTCATTTTCCCATTACCCTTTAAATGTTTTATAGCATTTTGTCTTTTTTTTTGGGGGGGGGGTGTATTTGGGATTGAATTCAGGGGCACTCGGCCAGTGAGCCACATCCCCAGCCCTATTTTGTATTTTATTTAGAGACAGGGTCTCACTGAGTTGCTTAGCACCTCACTTTTGCTGAGGCTGGCTTTGAACCTGTGATCCTCCTGCCTCAGCCTCTCAAGCAACTGGGATTATAGGCCCGGAAACATTTTATTTTTTTTAAAGAGAGAAAGAGAGAGAATTTTTTAATATTTATTTTTTTTTAGTTTTCGGCAGACACAACATCTTTGTTTGTATGTGGTGCTGAGGATCGAACCCGGGCCGCACGCATGCCAGGTGAGCACGCTACCGCTTGAGCCACATCCCCAGCCCCAGCATTTTATCTTGATGATATTGGAATTGGTGTGATTATTTTTAAATTTGGGGGAATTCATTCTTTACAGAGAGAGTTAGTAAATATTTCTGAATTTTAAAAAAATTTTATTTTAGTTGTAGACGGACACAATACCTTTGTTTTATTTATGTCGTGCTGAGGATTGAGCCCAGGGCCCCACACATGCAAGACGAGCACTCTGCCTCTGAGCCCCAACCCCAGCCCCCTGAATTCTTTGTATGCCAAAAGAAAGTCAATTTCTGTAAACATATGCTCTTCACATAATCACTCAGGCATGCACTGAATGCATCTAAGTCTGCTTGTACCAAAAGGAATAGAATGTTACCAACAAATGAAGGGCAAATTAGTGATACATGATCACTAGACTGCTTTCAGCATCGTTTCCAACATAGGTGTGTTCTGCTTTGAGAAAATCCAGTAGACATGTTTCTTTAAATGCATCATAGAAAAATTTGCGCATCATAAATCAGATTTGATACATAGCAACCCTTTTGCTACATCAAATAAAAAAACACTGAGGAGTCTAATCTATAATTTTCCCCAGATCCAATGTTTTAATTTTAAGAAGGAAGATTCAATAATTGAACTCATTCAAGGAGATGGCCTGGGGCCTACTTAAACTCAGTCTGCAGTTTCCACTGCATTCAAGACAGGTGAAAAATAATTTTTGGAAGAAACTTCAAGTTTTCTCACCTTCACATCTCACCTACAGGATAGGCGATGTGTATTTCATTTCTAAAATTGGTTTAGACCTGTGCTGTTCAATGTTTGCCACTAGGCATATGTGAAGTATATTTACATACACAAGTTCTGTTAAACATCTATTCTTCCCAATTCTCGCCCATTAACAGAGTAGGGTTAGGGTCGGTTTTTGGCTATTGAATGTATTATTTTTCTGTGTAAACTAACATATATGGAGATCAAATCTGTAACCATGACCTCAGTAGTAGTATTTTCTATGTCAGTGATTCAGATTTTATCTACAAGACTGTATATACATGAGTTGAATGAGACAATTTTTTTTTTTGGTACTAGGGATTGAACTCAGGGGCATTTGACCACTGAACTACATCCATAGCCCCCTTTTTCTTTTGTATTTTATTTAGAGACAGGGTCTCACTGAGTTGCTTAATGCCTTGCTTTTTGCTTAGGCTGGCTTTAAACTCACCATCCTCCTGCCTCAGCCTCCTGAAGCCACTGGGATTACAGGTGTGTGCCACCATACCCAGCTGAGACAGCACATTATTTGTGGTAATATCAAAGAATTACATGTACAAAAATACTCATGTTCAAAAATATGATCCTCGATTTGGTTTGAAGAATATATTACCTTAGCACTTATTAGCAAACCAAATAATAAATGCATCCTGACATTTATTATAATAAATTGATATACTTATGTAAATAAGATGAAAAATTTTAACATAGTATTGTTCTAGGGAAGGCAACACAAAAAAAATAGGAAATTTTAAGTATTTGTATTGGGAGCAGGGTGTCACATTCAGAGAGATATTGTTTATCATTGTACCCATACTGAGCATGATTTTGATCAGTAATTCAACTGAACCACATATTATTAGGGTGCTTGATATAAAAGTTTTATTATTCAAAATTATTGTTTCATCTTTTTAATTTTTTTTTTTTTTTTTAGTGTTTCATCTTAACCAAACGTCCCAGTGAGGAAGATCAGAGTAATTAAAACAAAGGGTTTGACACACTACTATGAGGATCAGTAATTTGAAGCCCACAGCTCTCCTGAGGAAATTCTCTTTCTAGTTTGCTAAAGCTGTGGGAGACCATTAGCATCATGATGTCTGCTACAAGAAATATTTTTTAATATTTAATTTTTAGTTATAGATGGACACAATAACTTTATTTTTTTAGTTGTAAATGGACATGATACCTTTATTTGTTTTTATTTTTATGTGGTGCTGGGGATCAAACCCAGTGCTTCACACATGCTAGGCAAGCACTCTACAACTGAGCCACAACCCCCACCCACTTTATTTTATTTTTATGTGGTGCTGACGCTCAAACACAGTGCCTCACAAAGGCTAGGTGAGCACTCCACCTCTGAGCCACAACCCCAGCCCTACAAGAAATACTGATACCTAAAATGTAATGGTCTCATACCCTATAGGGGCTTATTTTTTTTCAAAATATTTATTTACTTATTTTTAGATGTAGATGGATATAACACAATGCCTTTATTTTTATGTGGTGCTGAGAATTGAACCTGGGTCCCGCTCTTGCTAGGCGAACGCTCTACCACTGAGCCACAATCCCAGCCCCTATGGGGGCTTATTGATCTGACTTAATTCACCATGTGCTGGCCAGATTATTGGACAAATCAGCTCCATGTATTTCACACATTTGTAATGCAGGAACAATTGTATCTGGTACCACTGTGTAAAGATTTTGGGTAGCCACTGATATTAGGTAAATGGTATGGTAATGCAATGTGGGTGCAAGGTTAGGGCCTCCACAGCAAAAACAGTTATGTGTGGTGCAACCACTAAATGAGAAAAATTTCAGAATTTGAGCAAGTACAAAAAAAACTAAAAATAAACAAAAAATATGACAGACTCAGTTAAAATGAAACTGTCAGGTGGCCCAAACAAATTCTGCAGACTTCCACAGAACTCATTTGCCTAACAGTAATATATAAATTTTAACTGATTCACTTTTTATCTAAGTTTCTACTCAGAGCTTGATTACTGAAACAACAGTTAAATGACATTACATTTTTTATAGTCACCTCTCCAATTTCAGTATCTGCATGCCAAAATACAGAGTCACATAGAAACTGTGTATGCTGAGGAATACCACTAAATTTTCTCACAAGGATAGGATTCAACTTTTCTTTAATAGTGGATAGGAACATTTCCTTGGTTGCTTGGTTGTGTATTCTGAGAGGGCACATCCACTGGCACCTGAGGTGGCTTAGAACATAAATCTACATTAGGAGTAAAGGAAATACAGAGCTAAAAGTTTTGCTTTAATCACAAATTCACAACTAGATATTTCACTTGAATATATTAGAAAGTTAAAAAGACATGTTAAATTTTTCTAACCAATTAGCAAAAATATGTCAAATTTTTAATGTTTAGAATTTATCACATAAATATTTATAAATATGTCCTTTATTTGCAAAATTATTCTTAAAACATTTTAACACATTTAAATTGTCTTTTAAGGAAAAAATACCACCCTATTTAAAAACATACTAATAAACTTTAATGTCTAATTATACCAGTGCCACCAGATTAAAAAAAAAAGTATGTACCGCTATAGTAACACATGCTCTTTTTCCACTTATCAGTCATTATCAGAACCATTTGGAGGTAAGAAAATCAATGCATCATTGAAAAGATGTCCAAATGCCCTAAGACGGTATACCCCATACATCATCACATGCATCTGATTAGGAGTCAGTCCATTAAAAGTAACAGCCATATCTGAACAACATCCTTCTACTACCTGGTTGGGATGATTAGTCATTGCTTCTTTAATAGAAAGCCCAACAGATTTGGTATTAAATACATCTTTTCCGTCTGCGTCTTCTGCGTTTTCTGCAAACACTCCAGCGTATTTCAGGCAGACTGCTAGCTGCTTATCTTCAGATATCTTCCAAATCATTCCTCCCTGTTCAGGACACTTTTCAGGGATATTCAGAAGGCTGTTAAGTCTTTTCATTGATTCTATACTTAAGACAATTCCTCCTTCCACACTCACATATTCAAGGTCTCCAGATTTTATAGTGTGACCTAGATAGAAAGGTTGTGATGGATCCTTTTTTAACAAAAAATACTTTAGGTTTTCAATAATAGCAAATGTAGTGGGGCATGCAAGAAAGAACCAGTGGTATTGGTTGCTATACTTATCAAAGGCATATTTGTAAGCTTTTCTCATCATTAACCACATTTCACTTGTTTTCATATTAATTGACTCAAATACTTTAACATTTTCAGAACTGAAGAACTCTGCTTTGTCACAGTGTTTGGTCCAAGTGTCCTTCACTGCAGCCCAAAGACTCACATCTTTGGGTTTTACAAGGATGATGCAATATACCCGAAAGCTCTTACTGAGCTCCATGCGTTCATCCTCTGAAATTTTCAAGATATCTTCTTTGTTAGGAGCTTGTAGGTGATGATGCTCATGGTGATGCATTCTATTTCCATGACCAATTCCAATGTGTCCTAGAATGGTGATCAAAGCACAGAAAATGCTTCCGAGCATCACACCCTTCAAAAATGAACTGCTTTCAGAAAGCATTTTTCCTATAAAGAAGAAAAAGACCCTTAAAATACTTAAGTCTAGTCATTTGGTTTGGTATTACTTTATTCTGACATTTTGCTCTTAATGCTAAAAAAAAAAAAAAATCCCAAGCTTGAAATCAATTTAGTTGCAGACAATATTAAGCACTTTCAGAATCTTTAGTTTTCAATGGTATCTGACTTCTATTCCGTATAAAATATAATTCTGCAGAAATTCCTCTATGGAGGATTTGCTGTGGGAAGGTTATTTTTGTACTTTATCTATAAGGATTTAATTAACCAAGCATTAAATCAAGGTATTAGCCCTGGAAACCAATGTTACAGAGGTTATCTGTCCATCATTCTTTAAAGAATTTTGTACCCCAATCTTGCACTATATTATTTAAGTACCTCTGAAGATATAAATGGACTTTTAGATCAATACTTTAGATTGAACAGATAAATCACCTATAATTGGCAAATCACCAATGGCATCTGTGCTAACATTTCTCTTTTCGACCTTTGCTTTTTTAACTGATGGCTAATGTCTTATGTGTTTTGAGTATATCTAAATCAAGTTTCTTGAGATTGATAGATTTCAATGTGTATTGTTAATGTTTACCCTCCTGTTCCTAAGATTATGGGTTTCCAATAAGTCATCCCAGCCATTTTATTTCTGAGAAAAAGGAAAGTTTGATTGCTTTGCTAGCAAAGGAGAAACAGGAGACTCCTGTCCCAGAGGTTGTGATTCGCCTCATCCCAACTAATGATGGAATAAAAGCCCCCAATGAAAATGAAGCTAATAAATAAATATAGGCATAGGGATCATTGATAAACATTAGTACTTCCTCAAAAGGCATTTTCTTCTTTGGGTAAGTAAAATGGGAAAAGTCTACACATACATTTCAATTAGAAATTAAAAGAAAACATTAAATACAACTACTGAGAAAATTGTATGCACACGTCTATGCAAAGGCTGAAAATTCCCCCAATCTCTTCTCTATCTCCACAAAAAATACTCTAGTGAGCTATTTAGATTTCCCCCTTGTTTCTCAAAGTTGAAAGGAACCTTAGAAGATACCTAATGGCATTTTTCTCATTTTACAGATAGGGAAATGGAGGACTGCAAGGTTAAGTAACCCAAACTTACAAAACTAGTCAGTGTTAGTAGACTAGAACTCAGATCTCCTGACCTGTTTAATTCTTTTTCAATTAAGGACTAATAATCTAAACAGTGCTTCTACCATATTATTGAGAATTTAATAAATGAGTTCCTGAATAACCTTGTTTCCTATAAATTAAAAAATGTGGCATCTAATGACTTTAAAATTTTTTTTGTTGTAGATGGACACAGTACCTTTTTATTTTATTTATTAATGGGGTGCTGAGGCTCAAACCCAGTGCCCCATGCATGCAAGGTAAGTGCTCTACCACAGAGCCACAACCCCAGCCCTCTGATGACGTTTTGCACCCAACAGCACCACATTGCTACAAGGAAACCATTCCCATGGTTTTCTTCTAGAGGAAATGGACTTTGACTGCTATCAGGCCAAGGTGTGGAATAGATTGGTAGATGTAATTCCTGAGTGTGAGGTGGGGAAAGAAGAAGGATGTTAGTTCTCTTGTGTCATTCACAGAACTTGATCAATAAACAATTCCAAGAAGTGAGAAGCAACAAAAAACAAGGTCTGCTTAATTAAAGAATTGTCAGATACACTCTAAACTTAATTTATATAGGATTTTGGCATTTTGTATTACACAGTTTTCATTTGGCCAATATATGCTAATTCACACGCCTCTTTGCTTGATTATGGCATACGTGTGTCGGAATTCTTCTTGGTGGGGACCCTACTCCTGGCTGAGAAAATATTAATTAAAACGCAATAAATCTACAAATTTTACAGGATTATTTTCACCAATTATTTCAGGATTTTTTTTTCCTATTTGGGGAGGCAAAAAAAAAAAAAAGTAACACTGGGGGCTGCACAGGATAGGAATTTTTTAACATGACGGAAACTTAGAACTGCGCGCGGAAACAAGGCAAAAACTATCCAAGTGGTAGCTTTAGAAGGTAAAGGTGGGTGAGGTGGATTATGTAAAAGGGAGAACCACAAAATGGAGAAGTGAGGAGTAGGACAGGGTCACCCCAAGACCCCATGTTAGTGCCAAGGGAGCGCCACCAAGAAGGTGGCTCTCCATCTCTCTAACTCACTGGTTCTCCCTCAGCACCTGCCCGGGCATCCCGCATAGAGCATGCTGGGAACAAGCTAGGGCCCAGGCCTCCCCCGGAGAAGCGGAGGGGCCAGCTGCTCCGGGGTGAGTTTGGGGTGGGGAGGTAGACCTTGGCACTCACCCGTGTCTAGAATGGCTTGGGGATAGGAAGGCACGGCTTCCTTTCACGTTCTTGCTACTCAGTCCCGCTCCTAGCCGGGCTGCTCTAGATGCTGGCGGTGTCCTCTCGTTGGTATAGCTAAAGGTGGGGAGATCAAGGAAGCTGACTCTCCGAAGGAGGGGGGCGGGGCAGAGGAACTCTGCGCCGGGCGGAGGTGCCGCCTTCCCACGCAGACGTCGAAAAGGTCGGCGCGCACGCAGCGTGCCTTTTCTCCCCGCCCCTCGTCGAGTTCAGAGAAACGCGCAGGGCTGGAGTGACCTGAACGTTCATCAGTACCCAATGAGACGCCCAGAGAAGCGTGAGTGCGTACAACTCGATGACACCTCCCACTTCTTCTCTACCCTGCTGAGAGGCTGCCCCGGCGGCGCCGAAGAGCTTTGCTTCCTGCTGCGCTAGTTTCACTCTTTTAGATGGTTTCTCTAAAGTACCCAGCTTCTTTTACCCTTTTGTCGACCAGAGAGTGCTCCACACTGTATACCCGGGCTCAGATAAAAATGCAGGCCATTAAAATAGTAATCCAATTCTAGAATAAGGATTCACAGTTGTTATGGAATGGGGTTTTAAGTCGCTCTGCCTGGAATCCAATCCTGTCGTCCCGTCTTTTGATAACCAGGGAAAGTTACTTCACCTCTTTATGCTTTGGTTTCTTTTGTAAAGTTTGGTTGCTATATATGTGTGTGTGTTTTCCTAACTTTTTTCAATACTGAGGATGGAGCCCATGGCCTTGCATTGGCTAGGCAAGCACTCTGCCCTTGAGCTAAATCCCCAACCACTTTCTAGTAATGTTTGGAAAATAACACAAAAGTGTCTATTTTACAGAAGATTATGAGATTGTGCACATGATCCCCTTAGCAAAAGTTCAAGTGTAGAGTAAGCATTTATTAAATCCCTAGCACTTAAGCTAGTGCCAGCATGCAGTTGACAGTACATATTTGTAGAGTTAATGTAGGAACTACAGACGAGGAACCAGGTCCACAAATACTAAGGAACTTTTGAAAGGCCACCATTAAAATAACTGCAGAGATGGGACTAGAATCCAGGGCTCCTAATTAAGAGTGTTCCCTTTTCACTAAATATGTGATCTGTCTTTTAAAATTCACTTTTGTGCTCCACGTGGCATGTCTGTAATCCCAGCAACCCATGAGCCTGAGGCAGGAGAATCACAAGTTCAAAGCCAACCATTGCAATTTAGGGAGACCCTGTCTCAAAATACAAAATAAAATAAACAAATTAAGAAAGGGATGTGATTCAGTAGTTAAGTGCCCCTGGGTTCAATCCCTAGTACAAAAAAATTCACTTTACTATATATAACTCTGTGTGTGTGTGTGTGTGTGTGTGTGTGTGTGTGTATATATATATATATATATATATATATATATATATATATATCACTAGATCCCATTCAAATAACACTGAGTGGAGACTTAGGCCGGATTTCCTAAAATCATATATATATATATATATATATATATATATATATATATATATATATATATATATCTCGCAGTGATCCAGTTTAAGTAGACTGAAAGATTCAGGGAACAATGAAACAATGAACAAATAGATTATAAGCAATTACTATCCTGGCAGCACTACCCTAAATTCTGGGGCTATAATGTTAAAATAAGTTTCCTGCCTTCATAGAGCTCTCAGTCTGGCAGAGAAGAAAGACATTAAACAATTCATTACAATGGTGGGATGTACACTAAAGGAACACACAAAAAAATGAAGTCTAGGACTAGAAAGAAACTTAAGAGTACAGAATATCTCCATTGTATACTCTGGTTTCTCTTCAAATTGTAGAAATCTTTTGTCCTTTACTGAAAATTTCCGTGGAGATGAGAAAATTTTAAACCAGGTTTTGAGGCCTTGTTTCAGCAAGGCAACATTAAAAATAATATCTCCATTATATTTTGTTAATGTATGTATATTGTTTTATGTCACAGGGATTGAACCCAAGGGTGCTTAAACACTGAGCCACATCCCCAGCCCTTTTTATTTTTATTTATTTATTTGAGACAGGGTTTTGTTACCAAAAGTTTGGTCCTTGTCCCTGATGCCAGTCCAATAATGAGTTCAGAGTTTTGAGAAAAAAGAAAAAGAAGTTTTATTGCTTTGTAGCAAAGGAGAAGCCCAGAGGACTCCTATCACAGAGGCTGTATTCTGCCCATCAGGGACAACCAGGGGGCTTTTAAAACAGGTGATGCAAAGGCTAAACTCTATTTGTTCTCTGTTAGAGTTTTAATTCACTCATATGCACTCACGCTTCTTAATTTGGTAGTCACTTTGGAGATCTTCAGGTGCCATCCCCAAAGTCTTAATTACTTCCTTCGTGTGGTGGGTGTGTCCTCAAGAACAGGTAATTCTGCCTTGGATGGGGAAGAAAAGTGATCCTGTTTTCCCTGAGATTAGGGGAGAGATTAGGGAGGAGGAGGGAGAGAGGAAGGGATATATGTCCTTTAAAAATTAAGTCACAGTGGCAGAGCAGCGAGGGCTATATTCAAAGCCTAAAATGGACTGCTTTTACAGCCAGCCTTGCTAGCTTGCTGAGACTGGCTTTGAATCTGGGATCCTCCTGCCTCAGCTTTGTAAACTGCTGGGATTACAGGTGCATGCCACCATGTATGGCCAGGGTATATACTTTGTGGTGAGGAGAGCTTGCTCGCTCTCTGCTTCCTGGTGTCATGTTCTGAACTGCTTTCCTCCACTACACTCTTCCTCCATGATGTTCTGCCTCACTGGGGCCCAGAGCAATGGAGCCTTATGTCTATGGACCGAAACCTCTGAAACTGTGAGTGCAAAATGTACTTTCTTTTTCTAAAACTCTTCTTGTCAGGTCATTTGGTCAAAGTGGTGAAAAAGCTTACTAAAATAGAAAAATATAAATTTTTTTTTTCTAAAAAAGAGTAACTACCTGAAATGACAGATATATTGATTAGCTTGATTTTGGTAATCATTGCCAAATATGCCTCAGTAAAACTAGAAGAATATAAAATGATTTTTTCTTGGTACCAGGGATTGAATCCAGGCATGTTTAACTGCTTAGCCACATCTCAGCCCTTTTTAATATTTTATTTATAAATTTGCTGAGTTGCTTAGGGTATCATTAAAATGCTGAGGCTGGCTTTGAACTCGCAATCCCCCTGCCTCAGCCTCTCTAGCTGCTGAGATTACAGGGTTCCCCACCATGTTGGGCAAAAAAGAAAAAAAAAATGATTCTTTTTGTACAGGAAGGTAAACCAAACTGGATATAATGGTTCAAAATGCTCAAAAACAAACCATGGAATTTTCAACACCCAAAACTCTGTTAATAAGGGGTTGTCTAAAAATAAAGTTTTCTACTTTAAGCAGGGCTTAAATATAATTGGCATTTGAAATGAATTTAGATGATTGATTTATTGTTAGGTGATTGCATTTTTAAAATGACATTCCTTTTTTAGTCTAATTTTAAAAATACATGCAACTAGTGTCTTGCCTAGCATGGTAAGACAGGCCTGGGGTTCAGTCCCAGCACCAGAAACAAACAATACAATACAATTAGTGAGGATTTAGGGAAGATAAGCCCCCTCACCCCTGCTGCTGGGAATATAAATTAGTTCAACCTTAACACAGGGTAATTTGACAATATAAAAATAATACTAACATTTATAAGGAGCTTGCTATTTGCTGAGCACTCTGTGAAGTGATTCATGCTAATTGACTCACTCAATTTTGCTATTCAATTTGCATCATTTATAATAATGAAATGCTCAAGACCCCTAACCCAACAATAGAATCCTGGTTAAATGGAGCATGGAACTTCTATACAATAGGATTGAAATTATCTATATTTACTAACATGGAAAGCTCTATAAAATGTAGTAAGTTTTTTACAAAGGTTATAGAAGAGAATATGTAATATATTTTCTTCTGTTGTAATAAAAATAGAACCCAGGGCCTGATTATGCTAGCTGTACCCCAGCCATTTCTATAACATGAAAAATTATATGAATATATGTCTATGTGAGTATGTTTAGTAGAGCTAGTAATATTGTGAATTTTTGTAGAGAAGTCCCTATCTCTTGTAGTTACATATTGAAATGTTTATGGACAAAATTATATGATATCCAGAAAGTGCTTCACAATAATCTGGAAGGGAGGGATGTGGCTGGGGTACAGATGTAATAAGATCGGTTTTGAGTTGATATTGAAATTATAAAAAGTATATCTGGTTTCATTATACTTTTCTTTCTACTTCTGTTTATGTTTGAAAGTCTTAAAAAAAAATTGGGGTTCAATCCCTGGTATGAAGTAAATAAATAAAAAAATTCTAAAAAAAATAGTGACTACAGCCAGATACACTTGTGCATGCCTATAATACCAGCTGCTTGGGAGAATGAGGCAGGAGGGCCACAGGTTTGAAGCGAGCCTCAGGAATGTAGTGGGGCCCTAAGCAACTTAGTGAGACCCCATCTCAAAATAAAAAATAAAAAGGGCTGTGGATATGGCTCAGTGGTTAAGTGCCCTTGGGTTCAATCCCTGGTAACAAAAATAGAGAGGGGCGGGGAGGGAGGGGGAGAGAGTTAGTTTTAAATAATGCTTGGCAAGTTCCTGACTTTGTAAACACTTAATATATATTTATTGGAGGGCAAATGGTTTTGCTAAGTTTTTTTCTGGTATTGGGGATTGAACCCAGGAGGCATTACCAATCAGCTCTATCCCCAGCCCTTTTTTATTTTGAGAGAGGGTGTTGCTAAATTACTGAGGCTGAGATTGGAATCTGTGATCCACCTGCCTCAGCCTCCCAAGTAGCTGGGATTACAGGTGTGTGTCACCATGCTGGGTTTGTTGATTTAAAAAAAAGATCTCAGGTGGTAATTGAATAGAAAAACATTTAAAAATGAGATTACAAGCATGAATATGCTTGAAAACACAGATGCAATTCATTTAGAGGCCACAATATGCTCAAAAATAAATAATACTAGCATGCATGAGGTCCTCAGTTAGATCCCCAACAATGCAAAAACACTACTAATAATAATATTAATAAATTTGTTCAGACAATATATTTTGTTTTTTGAAGATAAACCATTGAGAAACTCTAGACAGAAAAGCTACATATATTACTGTTACTTTATTTAGGTAAACACAGAAGATATTTTTAGCCCTCAAA